GACCTAATAGCAGGTCCAGGACTTGACCAACAAACTTTTTGAAAGAGCATATGAAATGGAGGTCAGCTCCAAGAAACCCAAATGAATGAAGAATAGCACAAATGCTAACACCTATGTCAACATTACCAAGAATGGGAATTCACTGGAGGAAGTGTCCAGTTTTAAATACTTAGGAGCAATCTTGTCTAAAGATGGTGCCTGCAACTCAGAAATCTGCACATGGATTGTCGCGGCCATGGCAGCGATGACCAAACTGACAAGAATATGGAGGAGCAAAATCAGTTTTCAAACGAAGTAGAGACTGTACAAAAATCGTTGGTAGTCTCCATTCTTGTACATGGATGTGAAACATAGACACTGTTGGCAGAAACAGAGAGAAGCATCCAAGTGTTTGAGGACAAATACACGAGAAAACCAATGAGTTTGTGCAGAAAAGGGTGGAAGGTTTTGTAGGCCACCAGGGACCTTTTCTTGACACTGTCAAACAGATAAAAATGGCATAGTTTGGACACATTACAAGGCACGACAGCCTCTGCAAAACCATCATGCAAGGCACCATCGAAGGTGAACATAGGAGAGGATGCCAATGCAAAAACTGGTTGGACAATATCAAACAAAGGACAGGTATCATTATACTAGAATTACTGATGGCTGCCATTGATAGACCGTTGTGGAAGAGATTCAGTGTGGCTTCTGCATTCAGATACCCCCCCCGGTCACTCCACCCTTACGATTACAAAAGTCAAGGGGATGATGATGATGTATTTACATTATTTATGTTGTTTAATGGAATGGTTAGCAAAACATCACCTGATTACCGATCAATTCAAACTTTATAAAATGGTAAATAATAAGGATTTCCTTATAATTGATTCACATATTTTAATAATTTAGTAAATGTTTATAAATTTATAAATAAAAAATTGTTTTCATATTTCTTTATAAATTGCTAAATAATAAATATTGCACTAGTTTTAATACATTTGTATTAGTTTTCAGAATGTTGTAAATATAAAATTATTCTATAAATAAAACCTAAATGTATGATGAAAGTGAATTTATACATTTTTGTTTTTGAGAATTTACAATAAAAATATTAAACACTGTTTATTTACAAACAGTGTTTAATATTTTTATTGTAAATTCTCAAAAACAAAAAATGTATAAATTCACTTTCATCATACATTTAGGTTTTATTACAATTCTAATTGTTACAACGGCCTCTAACAAAAGGGAATTACACCGGTTCTCACTATATATATATATAGTGTCAGTAGTACCCTGCCCAGAGTAGCAGCGACAGTACTACACTGCCTAACTGAGTAGTACCCGTTTCCTACCTTTGTATCTGTGATGTTAAATACACTTGTTCCTTAACCCAACTTCGACTTGATTTTCTTATTTTTACTATTGTGCCAATGACACAACAGATTGGCGACGTCGAATCGAAACGATATCACTGCAGACAATCACCTAAAGTGATTGAAATACAAGGATTCATAAGACTTTTACATCAAAAACACCTTCGCTATTTCAACAGATATGTGGATACGCAAGATTAATAGCAAATTAATTACTACAATAGCTATTTGACGGCACGTAAAAAAAAAAAAAAAGAAACAACCAAAAATTTGCTACTAAAAGTCTACAGCGTGAGAACGCGAATAATATTGTCAATTATTAAAATAGTTGAAAATACTGACACCAAGTGTTTCGAAGAGAAAAAAAAAAGTTCACTGTTTTTTTTTTTTTTTGCAAGAAACCAGAGTTTGTTGTCACGGTAAGATTTTTTTTCTCCTCTTCAAAGTTAAATGATTTGTCGAAAGAAAAATATATATTCAATGTAAGTCATTTGGGCTTAACAAAGACTTAAAAATTCAAGTCATATTTGTGCAAAGCCACAAAGAGGTTGGAAAAAAATTTTTGTGACTTTGCCATTAGTCGACACTCCTTAAAGCGACGTTTTTTTTTACGAGAAATACATATTTCTTGTTTGTGTATTAGTTGAGCAAACTAATTTTATTAAGCAAGCCTTGGGAAAACTGATTTGTTTAATACAAGTGTAAACTGTATGGTGCGTAAATTGAATTCGCACCATGGACGAGAATTAAGAGAGTCTCTTCTTCAGTTGTTCAAATTTCAAATGGAACAAAGTCTCCCGTTGCAAAAGCAACAACTTCAACGACAACTTGAAAGTGAGGAGAAATTTAAAAAGAGTTGTTGGAACAACAGAAACGCGTCGAACAAATCTTTTATGAAAACACAGGAGGAACAGAGGAAATTTCTGGAGGCAACACAGTTAACGAAGGCAAGTGAGAATTATAACGCATTTTCCCCAGACGGCTGTGTGGAACGCTATTGAAAGTTTCAATTATAATCCAGAAGACGATGTCACGTTTGCTCATTTCTATAGAAGATATGAGGATATTTTTTGTATCGGATTGCGGTACATGGACAGATGCTAAAAAATTAGGTTTTTGCTAAGAAAATTGGGAACTGCCGAGCATACAAAGTTAAATGAATTTTATCCTTCCAAAAAAAAGACCAGTGGGTTGAACTTTCAAGAGACAGTTACTCTACTAACAGAACTGTTTTCTACAAAAACTTTTCTTTTTCACAGGAGATATAAGTGTATGAATGTCACTAGAAGAGAGGAAGATGATTACACTACTTATGCGAAGAAGCATTTCAGGAAATTAAAGATATATTAACGTCTGACTTGTTTCTGGCATATTATAATCCCAAGCGTGATATTATAGTTGCAAGCGATGCCAGTGCCTATGGCATAGGAGCATGCATACTACACAAAATGGATGATGAAAAAGTAAAACCCATACCCCATGCATCCCGTTCACTTTTACCAGCCGAAAAGAACTACTCGCAAGTCGAGAAAGAGGCGCTAAGCATTATATTCGCAGTAAAGAAATTTCATCGTTTCTTGCACGGTAGACAATTTCTGTTACAAACAGATCACAAACCTTTACTAACGATTTTTGGATCGAAAAAGGGACTACCACAACATACTTACGAATAGACTCCAAAGATGGGGTACCATTCTTCTGAATTATAATTTTCAAATGGAGTATGTACCATCTAAAAAAACTTGGTCATGCAGATGGCTTATCAAGGTTAATACCTAAGCACACAGAACCATTGGAGGATATGGTAATAGCAGCCATTCAAGCGGAAGTTGAAGTAAAAAATACTTTATGTGACACGATAAGAGAACTTCCAGTAACACTTGATGGGATTAAGAGTAAGGCAGAAGTGGACGAATTTATTATAAGCACAAAAGAAAAAATCAACAGTAACCAACTGGATGAGGAAATTTATTCAATTTGTGATAACGTGCTGTTATATAGCAACAGGGTCGTAATTCCTACGACATTACAGAAAAGAATGCTCAAGGAATTCCATGTAGGACATCCAGGCATATCAAGAATGAAAAGCCTTATGCGCTCTTTCGTTTTCTGGCCAAACATGGATAAGGATATAGAAGGAAAAGTCAGGGAGTGTAGAGGATGCGCATTAGCTATGAAAGCTCCTCCGACTCAATTCGGATCGTGGGCAAAACCGGACCAACCTTGGTCAAGAATTCACTTGGATTTTGCTGGACCGTTAGATGGTTTCTACTATCTCATTGTTATAGACAGTCTATCTAAGTGGGCGGAAGTACTGAAGTGCAAGAACCCCACATCCGAGGCAGCTATTAATTTCCTGTATGAACTATTCGCTAGGTTTGGAGTTGTAGACTGCATTGTCACAGACAATGGAACGCAATTCACGTCTACCGAATTTAAACATCTCTGCGAGGATTATCTAATCGAGCATATAACCATTCCGCCATACCACCCAAGAAGCAATGGGCAAGCAGAGAGATTCGTGGATACGCTTCAAGAGAGCCCTGAGAAAAGCTAGTGGATCACCGACGGATAAGTCAATCCAACAGTTCTTACAAGTTTACAGGGTCATCCGAATGCAAACATCGAAAGGTCAAGACACCTGCTGAGGTCATGTTCGGACGCAAGGTTAGATCAATTTTCCACAAGTTGTTACCAAACCAGGATAGGCCAAACCTTAAAAAACCAATAACAAAAAATGGTATAAAGTTGGCGAAAAGAGTTTTCTACAAGATGCATAGAAATAATAGGACCTTTTTGGGAGTCCGGCACTATTGAGAAACAAATAGGCAACATGGTCTATATGATTAAGGGACCAGATTTAGGCACAAACGTCCACACAAACCAAATCCGGAAAAGATACTCGAACAGTGAGGTGACCAGATCACCCGAGGAGGACATCATGGACACAGTGTTTAACACTTTTCAGGTGCCCATACCAGAGACAGCTCCTGAGAATAGGAGGTCAGAAAGAAAAAAAGGAAATCAACGGAGTTGATTAGGGTGAACCCAAAACAAAAACGTTATTAATTCCCAGGCGGGATATTTTCAAAGGGGGTGTTACACGGCCTCTAACACAAGGGAATTACACTGGTTCTCACTATATATATAGTGTCAGTAGTACCTACCTGTAGTAGCAGCGACAGTACTACACTGCCTAACTGAGTAGTACCGGTTTCCTACCTTTGTATCTGTGATGTTAAATACACTTGTTCCTTAACCCAACTTCGACTTGATTTTCTTATTTTACTATTGTGCCATGACACAACACTAATTATCACTTTTTAAAACAATAAACATTTATGAGGAGCGAAGGTAGTTAAAATAATAGTAGTGTCAAGGGAAAACCACCTTTTGACTCACCAACCTTTTCCAGGCATAAAGTTTAAAGATTGCCAATAAGTTAGTCTAAAAGTTAATTAGTAGCACAAAATAGCATCCGAATGTTTATATTTTGTTTTATTTTCTGAAATCCCGCATTGAAAGGAAAGAAACAGTCAAATTGTTTTAACTAGTATATCTTATCCTTGGCTGTCTCCTTTGATAATTTAATGTTATATAATTATTTGTGAGTTAAAAAAAATAAAAATAGAAACACACCTTCACCATCCCTCAAGGAAGGATCAGCACCATAAGACATAAGCACCACAACCATGGTCAGGTGACCTTGCCTAGATAAATAAAAAAGAAAAAAAAATAGTCAGCACTTACCAAACTTGAAAGAAGCAAGATTCAGTTTATAAAGAACAATTTTAGAACAAAATTTCAGATTAATCTTTCTAGTGACAGTAACTTTTTCTTTCATTTTGCAAAAATGGTAAACATTTTTTGTTTTCTTTTGTGGCATATCATAGGTCATTTAATGCTGAAATTTAATTTTCTTGGAGCATTTGGAATTCTTTTTACAAAAATGTGTTGCTGGCAAGATTTTTTTTTGCTGGTTACTTTTTATATATAAAAATGTATTACTGGTATTTTTACTAGAAAAATGTATTTTTTATACTTTCATAATGTTTTGAGCCCAGTTTGGGAGTTAACTATTTGCCCATAGCTGGGACCTAAAAGATGCTACCACCCCAAGTCCAGGTGGACTTGGCAACAACAGCAAGTAAGAGGTGGTCTCATGCTCCTCAAAACCTCCTGATCAGAGGACTTGCTGCCAGATGTAGTTTATTGTCATACCCAGGACGAGTAAACATCTGTCATGTAAATTGTAATTAAAAAGTTCTAGGAAGAGTGACATAGGAATGACATGCAATAATCAATATTTCGTTTTGACAACACAGTGATTTAACACGGCACAATGGTGTACTGTGGGCGGATCATAAGTGTGCTAGGAAAATTTCTAATTATTTTTTTTGAAAGAAGTCCAAAGCGCAATAAGTGTATGTAATCAAAATTAAGACCCCTTTAAATTGATTATTATTATTATTATATCATTATTATAATAAATAAATAAATAAAAGTATACATTAAATATAAAAGGCATCCCATTAAATATAAAAGGCATCCCATTAAATGTTGAGTTAAAATAAGCAGAAAAATAAATATAAGTTTTTTTAAGAATTCTAATTATTATCTTTTTATTATTACAAATTATAAATTGTTTTGTTTGTTTTAATAAATCAATCATAAAATGTATAGTCTTTTTTTTTTCTTTTTTTTTAACACATAATTTAATTGCACCGTGGAAGTTTAACAACAGGTTCAAGTGTGCCAGAAGAATAAAACTGTTGCAAAACATCACTATAACCAGACAAACGCGCTTCTATGTTAATTTATAATGTTATTATACAAATATTATCTTGTATTATGTTGTTATACTAATATTATGTTATGCTATTAATTTATTATGTTATTTAATTAACTACTTCATTTTTTTTAATAATCTTTTCACTACAAGCAATGCAACAAAGCCACTAACATGCAGGGGATGGAAAAAATTTTAACCAGTATTTAGCTATGGACAATTTTATACCCGACCCCACAAAGCCAGGGTATCACAAAATGCAAATGTACAAGAAATGGAATTGAGAAGAATAGAATTATTTTATGCAAGAGATGCTTTCTTAGTGTAATCAAAAGACATTGGTAGGAAGATTATCAGTATTATGACAGTAATTATAAGATTAGAATTCAAATTAAGCAATGACTTACCTGGTGGCCCAGTGCAAAGGGGTAGAATTTAGGTCTCCTCCAAATTTATCAATGATGGCTCCTTTGAGAAGGTAATATCTGAAGAGATAACAAACATTAATCATTTTTCAAGTTGAGCAATCCTGTGAGGACAAATCACTCAAATAGTCTTTGAGATGATAAAAAGTTTTCTTCTCAGAACAAAATTAATTTACAATATTCCCCATGTACAAGACACTTTTTTCTTTTTTTTTTAAGAATATCCCCCCAAATCATCCTGTGACTTGGCACTGAAAGGTCAAGTTGTAGAGAAGAGTTTGCCAAACCTCATGAACCTGTCACAAGATACAAGCAATCATGAACCCCTGATTGTTGCATCTGTCAGTCACAAGAGACCCCCTGGATCTGTAACCAAAGAGTTATGGTGCAGTATCTCTATTATGGCTGTACAGGCCCACACGGGAGTGACAGTCTCGATTTCAATGAATGCATGTGCAGACACTCTTGTCCAATGTCACCTTTTGTTGTTTTCTTTCTATTGAGCATGTCTCAGTTTCCTCTCCTTGCTCCAGACCACCCCCCCACCCTCGGGTGTAAATCGCATCTCCAGCATGAGCAATTGTTGGTAATGTCTTCCAACATCTTAACATAATCATGAACCCCAGACATATAATATAACTATCATTCATATGTAATAAATACCGCATATCATATTAGTATCCTACCACATATATTGTCTTTTTTTATCGAGTATTAATGATAACCAGTAGGTAGCTTCCTACTGGTACTGTAAGTCTTTCATTCATTTCGGTATACTATATGCTTTCTTCACAAATCCCAACCCTAGCCACATAATACAGGCTGACAGTTGTGTTTTATATGTACACCAGTGATACCAACGTTATTACTCCACTTTCTGTACTACTGAAACAAACCAGTTAACTCAATAGGCCTACCGTTAAAATACATGTTGTTTTTGATATGAACAGGGGGGTGTATAACATTGTGATAAACTTGAAAATCTAATAATGAACACAAATATTTAACAACCGATTCAAAATGTGATAATTTGTTGTGACAGAGAAAAAAAAATGATAACCGTATTGTCAGGAACTTGGGCTTGCTAGTATGGCAAACCATTAAATCCTCAAATATATTTCTTCCAAAAAATACCTAGTTAATTTAGGGTGCATCATATGACATGTAGTATCTTAGCATCTGGGCAATAAAATACATATCTAAAACAGATTTAATGTGTTCAGCACCAAATAATAATAAAAAAAAAAAAAAAAAAAAAAGCTAACATTTTCACAACTTTATCAGTCAAGTGCCAAATAACATCAATGTCCCCTTTTTGAAATTAACACCTTGTTTTCATTTTGTTCTCTGTACACAGCTGTAAATAATATTCACTTTACTAGTCTCTGAGGAAACCTATTTTAAGCCAACACACAACTGAAAAACAGTTCCACTGAAGGATTAATGATTCATCAAGACACAGTGATCCTACTATAATGAGTAACCTTACCACTCATGGACTTATTAATGATTCTATTGAAACTGAAAAACTATTAGATTACCTAAAAGGTTTGTTCGATTTTTTTTTTTTTTTTTTTTTTTTTTTGTTATATGGCATTAGAAGTGTTTAGTTCTAAGTTTATTCCAGACAATCACCTATGATTGTATTTTAACAGTTGTCACATCAGTATATATTTCGGTACATAATGGGATTGTCAGAAATTAATCGAACATCAGAGAGAAATGGATTGTTGGGAATTAAGAGAAGTATTACTGGTAGAATATAGCAGTAAATAAGGAAGGACACATTTTGTGAACCATTTTATGTCCATATTATAATATTACAAAATAAGATGGTCACCAAGAAATGTATGAAGGTGGACCGACAAAAAATAAATATATGAAGAAAAGGAAATATAAGTGAAGGAGAAGAAAAAACTCAAAAATACATGAAGATAGATATTAAGCATTGCTAAGTCTGACACAAGGCTATGAATTATGCAGCAAAATAATGACTTGTAAATAAAAAACCTGAATAATATTTTTGGCAAATGGACATAAACATGGGCAAGATTTCTGCATGGGTCAAAAACAAGAAGACTAAAAAGAAAAAAAAATGACTAACTTGACGATGTCTGTTCTGTTATTGATAGCTGCCCAATGTAGAAGACTGACATTTTCTTTGTCCAATGTGTTGACATCATAATCTGCTTCAATAAGTTCACGGCATCTTTCGTATGCACCATACTGTGTGGCTCTGACGATGTCAAAATTCTTGAAATCCTCATTCTGCGGTTGCCGAGAAGTACTGCTAGTTTTTTCAACAGGCTCACTATATTCGTTGTCTTCTGCCTCCTGTAACAAAACAGATCAAATATTTATGAAAGGCAATGTGGATATATGAGGTATAGACAAGCAAGGTTTTGAGGAGAATATATCTCCCACAGACAATTAATAGGTGAATATCTCCATAAGATGTTTACTTTCATCTTGCATAATTAACCCCCGTCACCTCTCAACTGCTTCTTTTGATGAAGTAACAGTTGCAGGATTTCAAATGTAGGCACAGGAGAAATCGAATGGTTGAATGGAGTTCAAGTTCCAGCTGGGGCCAGTTTATGTTTACTTTGCACTCATGCCATCAGGAAAAAAAAAAAATAATCTATTTCTAGATCCAGAGCTCTGGGCAACTAGTAGGATAGTTGAAAATTATATATAAAATAATTTTTTTCATATAGACAAAAAAACTTTACTCACTACAAAGATGCAACCTTGTTTTGGTGTGTTTAGTTGCACCTTGACTGGTGAGAACCAAAATGGTTATGAACAATTCTGTTTGTAAGCAGGCCGTTCATATTTTTGTTTTCACCAGTCGAAGTGCAACTAAATGCACTGAAACAAGGTTGCATCTTTGTAGTGAGTAAATTGTTTTTGTCTATATGAAAAAATTATAATAAATAATTATTGCTCTACTCTCGGTATTGAGCCTTCTTTTGAAATAATGCTGTGAATATTAGAATTTATATATCATTTTCAGTCTCATTACATTTGGATATATATATATATATATATAATTTGATGACATCTTAATATGTCTTACACTTCCTTTGTCAGATACAAGTTCTATTGCACAACATGTAAAAACACATTCCTGTTCACCTTCAAAGTACAGGAAAATACTTGTTAATAACACCAATACACTACACCATGAAAATAATAAACAAAAACTTGAAATTCTCGGTCCTTTATATCAAAATGTATCAATCAATACTCAACAAAATTTATTATGAATATAGCAACAATATATTAAAGTGCATATAACATTTAATACCATTTTATATTTCTCCCAATTCCTGGTCAGCTCCCTTATACTGAAACAATTGTTTTGAAAAAAAATTCTATAACTACAACGGATAAATTTTAAAATAACTACAGAGCACGTTCATGTGTGTTTTTTTTTTAAAATCCCTATCACAATTGAATGCAGATTTTATTGCAATTGCAGTAAGTTTGTCTTTGTAATTTAACTCTGAAGATGATCTTAGAAAAGATCAAAACTACAGCATCTACCTTGATTAATTTTATCTTAACTTCAAAAAACTGATTAGACAACTGCAAAGGATCAGTATAAAAATAAGTTGACCCAAAATGTCTATATTATTCAATGAAACATGTTTGAATGAAGATATACTGCCTATATATAATAAATACAAATATAAAATTTGTCACTTAGCTGATTGATGTTATCTTGTCCTATCTACAATATAACTGATTCAGTGAAAGCACTTCATAAAAGCTCAGAACAAGATATTAGCTGACTGAGATTTTCAATTTCCAATCGTAAGATATTCCTGAAAACTAAACAACTTTTTCCTGTTATTTAAAATGACGACTGTTCATGGAATGCAACAAATATTTGTGTTATTTTCTTCAGATTAACAACAAAAAGGAGGAAAAAAGTTAAGAATCCAATTCTGATTCACACATAGTGAAATCCTAGGGAACAAGACAAGAAAAAGGGATCTAATTGATGCCACTAGTTTAAATATGGGGTTCTCTCCAGAGCTCTATCTTTGGAACCATTTTGTTCCTAATTTTTATCAAAGACCTTCCCAATGTCAACAGTTCACAACTCGGTATCTATGCTGATGACAAAGCTACTTACTCCTGTCTTAATGGTAAATCTGATTGGCTCAATAAATTCAAATTGGCATCTAAAATACGACCTTCAATCAGTTGTTAACTGGGGCAAAAAGGTTTATTAATTTTAATGGTCTCCCTTTAATTATCTTAGAGAACATTTTTGCCTTCCATCATCATGACTGATGCTAACCTCCGAGAGATTAACTCTTTGTACCTTCTTGCTTTTACTATTTCCACTGATGTGAAGTGGAATGACTATAAGAGAATCAATTGCTGGATCTGCTGCTAGGAAAGCTGTTTCACTGTGTTGTGCTAGATAATTTTTCTTACCAGAATCTATCTTGCACCTTTTTAAGTCTACCATTTATCTATGCATTTAATATTGTTGACACTTATCTGGTTTGGGTTGTTTTGTTTTACAGCATATCAACCTCAATGGGTTATTTAATGCCAATAAAATTTTCATTGTTGGTAATATTTTTCCAAAAAAATCTATTTCTGGTAATATTTTTTTTCCTTCAAAAAATCTTTTTGGCAATATTTTTTCCTTCAAAATCTATTTCTAGTAATAATTTTCCTTTGCTGGTAATATTTGTTTTTTCAAAAATGTATATTTTTTTTTTTACAAAGTATTTCTGGTATTAAAACCTATTTTTACACTTTCATAGTGTTTTGACTCCAGTTTGGGGGTTAACTATTTTCCCATAGTTGGGACCCTAACAAGTGCTACCACCCCAGGAAAGGGTGGATCTGGGAACACCAGCAATTAAGAGGTGGTTCCATGCTCCTCAAAACCTCCTGATCAGAGGCCTTGCTGTTGGAAGTAGATCGCATCTGGTGCTTTTGTTATCTATCTTAGGGTTCTCAACAAAATCCTAAGAAGAATCTGCAATGTTATCAGTCTTGACCTGGCATTTCAGCTTCAATCACTTTACCACCGCCATAACAGATTCCTTGTGGCTTTTCTATAAATATTTTCATAGTAATTGTTTTGATTTGCTTTCCTCTTTGGTTCATCTTCACAAATTTAAATTGGGTACTAGATTGGTAGTTAGGTCTTATCATTTTACTGTTGAAATTGCTAAATGGAATTCTGAGTAGAAGTACAGATTTTCCATTTCACATTTTCCTTAATTTCGTTTTAGAGAATTCCTGTTTTTGCTTTATTAATACTTAGTAAGAAAGTGTAACAATATATGTTCTTAAAACAAGAAAATAAAAGGAAAATGAAAAATTTTACTCGCTGGACTATTTACCCATTGGAGAAGTTACTCCAGCTTAATAGGGTTTCATAATTCATACTTCAACCCTTATCTAACTTGATTAGCGAAAATGGCAAAACGTATTGAAAAGTAGCAGCAGAAAGTCTTCTAGAGACAAAAAAAAATATCGTTTGGTTACTTTATTGATATTATTAAATACTATTTTACAAAAAAAGTCTAATTTGTAAAATGCAGCTTCTTTAATTGACAAACTTCCCCCACTCCCGTCACCATATATGAAAGGAAAAAAAGAAAGAAAAAAAAAATTTTTGTTTTAACACCACCCCACACCCACTTTTTTTTTTATTAAATCAAGCAGAATTTGTAAAACTTGGTTTCTAAATACTAGGGAAACAGTAGGCAACGAAGATGTATGAAAACATTATTGACTTTATCCTTTGATGTCCGTCAGACGAGTGAGTTAGGAAAGGCAAACATAGTAACAAATTAAAATGGCAGTTAACAAAACTGATTGTAAGAAAAAGAAAATGTCTATTTCAAAATTGCAATTTCCATTTCAAGTAGGCCATTCTGTTTTTCCATTTTCATGGGAAATAAGCCCCTCTATATAAGTTCAATGCTAACAATTTCTTCTCTTGCACTTCTTACTTGTAGAATTCTCTTTCAAATCCTTGTTTTCCTGTCAACTTTGATCTTTAAAAATTTAAATACTATTTCAATCATCATTTGAATCCTGTTCTTTTGTCCTCAGTTTTTGCAGTTTATTTTGCTCTGAGTAATCCCTTGCATATTAATGGCTTTATCACCTTGCTTTGGATTAAAAAGGATTAAAAAAAATGTTTGTACAGTTTATCAACTCTTTTTACAGGTTACTTAAAGTTGAAATATATTTTGGATTTTAAGTTTTTTTTTTTTTACCAGTGAATATTGCATTAACAATTTTTGGAGAATAACATGGATTTTTCCAGATACAAGTCCTAATATTTAATCCATTACTTATCATTTAAAAGATGGATTCATATCTTTCCCAAGGGTATTTGCATTTAAGTGAACATAACAAACGTGACTGGAATTTGAACTCAGCTCTCAGATTTCTCTTCCCAGACCAGTGTTATGCTTACCTACACATCATCAACAGGATATTTGTTCAAAGTAAAAAAAAAAAAAAAAAAAATTAAAGTAATATAGATCATTTAACATCAGGTTCTAAAACATTTTACTACTCAATAAAAAGTAAATAGACTTTAGGCATGGTTTTTTCTCTTTTTTTTTTTTTTTAATCAATAAAAAACTCAAATAGCATCTGTTTCCAAATAACAGAAGGTTAGGGATGACTACAGAGGAAGGAACATTTGGTAAAAATCAACATTCATAAAAAATAGTATATTTTTTTAGTAATAAAAAATAGAATGGTTTAAAGACACCAATGTAAAATAACATCATGTTAAATAATAGTTTAGCAAACTATTATTTTTAGAGGAAGTGTATCTTGGCTGGGGTCAGATGTAAATCATAATAGTGAAGTCAATTTTGATTGGTTGAGTTAGCGTGGGAAAGATATAGGAGAAAAGGATTTAATGAGTTGTTTCTTAGCTGTCAAGCGATGTAGACATTTTCTCTTTCCTGTCTAAAATGGCTCCCCAGTGAGGGGAGTGGGAACATATATATACATATATATATGTGAAATGTGTGTGTGTGTATATATATATGCAATTTATTATATATATTATTTATATATTATATATGCGCAGTACTTATTGGAAAGCGCTCAATATCAGTGATAGAGCTAACATAAAATATCTTTCATTTTCCAACAGAAAATAATCGAACAGCACTACACTATCCACATAGCAGCTAAAAGACAGAAATATTACACCAAGAATAAGCTGGAAAATATTGAAAAAAGCACTTGCCTACAACAACATTACAAAAAAATGCCTACTTTGCCTACACAAACAAGTAGCAATAATATCTCATACCCCACAAAAG